AAGTCAAGGACAAGACGTAAGTCTATGAGTTTTGTAGATGTATGCACTTGTGTACGTGTGCACACGTGCCGGCCACGCACCCCATTCCCCGTGCCTCGGCATGCAGGCTCTCCAAGGCGGGGAGTCTGTTGACATCTGCCCCAGCCTGGAACAGAAATGCTGAAAAAATGACGATGACATTAAGCACCTAGAACACTTCTTGGCACAGACTGCTCTGCTTGAGAGGTCCTAGGTGCAGAGAAGACCTTGGACACGTTATTTTAAGTGTGAGCTACTAAGAAAGTAGGAAATTGGGCAGCGGGATCCCCAGAGGTATCTGATTTGCTGGGGTTGGGAACCCCTCCCACCTTTTTCAGGTGAGAACTTTGTAATTAAACGAGAACCACATGCCAAGTACTGTGTGAAACACTCCACGTGGATGGTCTCATGTGGTCCTCGCAACGCTACGGGGGCCATTCACTCATCTCTAAGATGAGGCTATGTTAGTGGCCCAAGGCTGTGTTGCTGGTAGGTGGTGGAGCCAGGATAGGAACGCAGATGTCGTTCTTCAGAATCCATCCCTTCCCTCTTGTCCTGTAGTACTTCCCAGAGGGCATGTCCCTGGAACTGCCTGGGGATGGCAGAGGATGGAGGCACAGGGAGCTGGGGAGAAGGGCAGGTGGTCAGGAGGGTGGGCAGCCGTGAGGACCCCAGAGGGAAGAAGCAGGAGAGGCTGTGAGGCTCATCTGCGGTGAGAACAGGATCAGCAGATTGGAATGAGAGAGCCAGTGTCCAGGATGCTGGGGGGCAGGCTGGGGGCAGAGCAGAGCATGGGCCCCCTCTGCTGGACACCAAGCTGCCTGCACTCCCTTGGAGGCCCAGGCCAGAGAATGGTCCTTCCTGGAGTTTGATGAGCTGCTTCAGGAGGATTCCCAGGGTAAGGTGGAACGTGGCAGGGTTAGAGGCTGACGTTTTCTGTAATCTGACGGACACACGCACACCCACACACGTGCATGCACGCAACAAGGGGTCCGCAGGCTGTGTGATCATAGATAACGGGTCTGAGGGGGAAGGAAAGGGTTCAACAGTGACTCTGCAGGTCTGAAGGCACCTCCTTCCCTGGTGATGGGTGAGTCCTGCTGCTGACTGCCTTTGGGGCGTGAGGCACAGATAAAGGGGTTCAGCCCAAGGCATGTGTTCAACTATTTGTGTCTCTTGGGTCAGTGAAGCAAAAGTGAGCAATCGCCTGTCATTTGGATCTGTGGAACCAGAGCAGTTTAGCCGCCAGGTAGATTTTTTCTCAGATAATTTCCTGCTCCTAGGAGCTCACTCCTAAACTCTCCCTAAGAGGTCATCAGTGCACGCTCAGGAAAGAGCTTCCCTTTAATATCGAGCTAAGCAGAGTGAGACGCGTTTGGGATGGCAAAGCCTGCTGAGGAAAGTAACAGTCGCTCTGCTATCGCCATGGCTACCGTTCTAGAATGGTCTGGAGGTCTCTTCCGTCCCAGACTTGGGAGCAGGTGGCTGAAGTGGTATTAGACAGAATCAGGTCAGTGGGCTTGACTGGGGGCAGAGAGGTGAGGAGCGTGCAGGGGTTGGGGTCCATGCTCCTCCCTCCAGTTCTCCCAGGAAATATTCCTGGAAGAGCTAAGATTTGCCCTATCCCAGCTGGTTGATGAGCTGTTGACCCCTGTCCCCAGCATCCCTCCCTCCCCAGGCAGGGCCTCTGGGTCAATTTGCCGAAAGCCAATTCATCAAATCTGACAAATTTACCAATTCTTCTGTGAATATATTCATGAACATATTCTTGAATATATTCTATGAATATGTTCATTGCTGAATATACCAAATTTACCGGCGCTCATTATGAACATATGCACTGAGTACAGTCAAGATGAATATGGCTTCACATGTAAACATGCTTATGAATTTATTCATGAATATATTATGACTATATCTAAAATGTCTGCATTGCATTATGGGAGTTTTCCCATTTACACTGATTCCCTTTGAACTCTTGTCAGTTTCTGTTTTACCAACATTTTAGCATTTTTAGGATTCCTCTGCAGATTTTTCAAATAGCAGCCTATCAGCCTTAAAAAAACTATCCCAACCGGTATGCAGTTGCCGGAAACTCTGAAGTAGTTTACTTAAAAAAAAAAAAAACCAAAACAACTTGTTATTGAAATATGCACATAGAAAAGTACACAAATCCTAAGAGTCCTAATTGATGAGTCATCCAAAAGCGAATGCACCTGTGTGATCAGCAGGCAGGTCAAGAAATGGAATGTTTCCAGTCCCCCAGAGCCCTTCTTCATGTCCCCCTCTCAAACATTACTTCCTCCAAATCCTCTGAAGGTCTGTCTATCCTGAACTTTCTGTAAATGGAATAACATAGTACAGATAATTTTATGCTGGTCTTTTGCTCAGCATTATGTTGTAAGTTATCCCTGTTATTACAGGGAGCGGTGGGTTATTTATTTTCAGTGCTGCGTTTTATTCCATTGTATGAATATACCATAATTTACTTAACCAATCTAGATGGAATTTTTTAAAAACACAAACTAGAAACCATTCAATTATTCATCAAGAGTACTGCCACTGTTAGGTCACAGAATAGGCAGATGTTTCAGTTTAGAAGCCGCTGACCAACCTTACCTCTTACTCATTTTGTGTGTGTGTGTGTGCGGTACGCGGGCCTCTCACTGTTGTGGCCTCTTCCCGTTGCGGAGCACAGGCTCCAGACGCGCAGGCTCAGCGGCCATGGCTCACGGGTCCAGCCGCTCCGCGGCATGCGGGATCTTCCCGGACCGGGGCATGAATCCGCGGCCCCTGCATCGGCAGGCGGACCCCCAACCACTGCGCCACCAGGGAAGCCCTCTTACTCATTTTTTTACAGCTTTTTTTTTACAGTTACTTCAACTGCTTTTGAAGAGTTTTGCAAAGTTTTAGTCAAATGGTTTGCATTGAACCTTCATAGCAGCATCTTAAGGAATGTTCAGTTTGGCAGAAGCCAAAGATCATAATACAATGGTTGGATCTTCTCACCACCACATTTAATAATCCAAAATCATATTCTATAACTGGCAGCCAAATTTTCAGCGTAGGATTTGTATCCTAATTCTGCACATCCACCATTAAATACAGAATAACTGAGGAAGGGCCAGAGTACCCACATCAGAATGAAATACTGAAGGTTTGGTTACTGTTAGTCTTAGTTTGTATTTCCAAGAAAGGTATCATTTAAGGAATTGGAGGGAAATTTTTAAATGCCTAAAGGTTGGAAAATTCTTTTAAATGATACTCAATAGGCTGTCTAGTAACCTATTTAATCAAATCTAAGACACCATCAACTGCAAAGCGCACCATTATCTTAGAAAACAAAAATATGAAAATACTGCAATTGATGATGTTATAATTTAATTGACAGGGATGTTTTTCTTTCCAAAAAGATCAACAAAATTCAGCACTTCAAAAGAGGCAGAAACAGTCCCATAGTATGTAAAATGCAGAAGTTAAAAATTTTAATCACTAGGTTTAGAAAAGTAAAAGTATTTTATATATATATATATATATATATATATATATTTTTTTTTTTAATTTATTTATTTTTGGCTGCGTGGGTCTTCGTTGCTGTGTGCGGGCTTTCTCTAGTTGCGGCGAGCGAGGGCTTCTCACTGCAGTGGCTTCTCTTGTTGCGGAACATGGGCTCTAGGCACATAGGCTCCAGTAGTTGTGGCACACAGGCTCAGTGGGTGTGGCTTGCAGGCTCTAGTGTGCAGGCTCAGTCATTGCGGTGCACGGGCTTAGTTGCTCTGCGGCATGTGGGATGTTCCCAGACCAGGGCTCGAACCCGTGTCCCCTGTATTGGCAGGTGGATTCTCAACCGCTGTGCCACCAGGGAAGCCCAAAGTATTATATTCTTGCATATATCCACAGAAAGAATATGTTAAGAGTCTAAATATATGCAAGGAAAGATGATACATCCTCCAATATAGTCTTAGGAAGAGTTGGCACGTTTTGAGAAAGGGTTATTTGGTGAATTGGCTTTTGGCGAGTTTGCTTCCCCTGGAGGCAGGTAGATGTGGAGAAGATCGTCTGCTGGGCTGTGGGCACAGCCTCTGCCCCTCTGAAGCTGACACTTAACGGCGCCTTTTCTGGACTTTGTGGTGGCATCATCACCTGTCCCTCCTCCCGCAGCCATCCTGCTGGCCTCCAGTGAGCTGATCCGCAGCAAGCGTCTAGCGCAGATGCTAGAGGTCGTCCTGGCCATCGGCAACTTCATGAACAAAGGGCAGCGTGGGAGCGCCTACGGGTTCCGGGTGGCCAGCCTTAACAAGATTGCCGACACCAAGTCCAGCATCGACAGGTGCGACCTGCCGGCTTCTGGAGTCTCCGTCTCACCCCATCCTGGCCTCTCCCCTCCTCCCCGTTACCCTCCCAAAATATGCCACAACTTCCCCCTAACACCTCACCCTAGTTTCCGCCGGACCCTCATTCCCAATTCCCTTGGCCCCGTACCCCTGACCCGACTTTCACCCACAGAAACATCTCTTTGCTCCATTATCTGATCATGATCCTGGAGAAGCATTTCCCTGACATCCTGAACATGCCCTCTGAGCTGCAGCACCTTCCAGAAGCCGCCAAAGTCAAGTAAGGGGTCCTCTTGAGGCTGCCTTCTCCCTGTGATCCCGCCCTCTCTCATCTAAACTTCCTCCTTTGGGGCTGCTCTGAGCTGGCTCAGAATGAACAGCATCTCGGGGTCTGCTCTGGGAGAACCCAACGAAAGACACTCTTTGCTCTCAAATCCTCATTTCAGAGATTCTCTCAGGAAACAAAGTGGGGAGTGGGGAGCTGTGACAGGGATGGGGAGAATGCCGGCAATGGGGTTGTTGTGAAGCCACTTACCACTGCAGGCGAGCAGAGCTTAATCCTGCCTCTGCAGAGTGTGGGAGACAGTGTAGGACACTCGCTCCATTATCCCCACAAGGGGTAAGATAGGCATCATCTACCATCTCCTGTCACTCACTGGCTGGGGGTGGGCAGTAACGCTCTGGCCCGCAGAAAAAGTGCTCAGTGGTTGGAAGTCAGGGCTGTCCACTACAACGGATGGTCCAAGGAGATGGCGGGGGTGGGGTGGCGGGCTCCAGGGGCATCTGCTACAGGCGAGAAGTCAGACCTGAACGTATATAGGCTGATAGAAGCATCTCCAATAGAAGCAGAAACGCAGAGGTAAATAGCTAATACACATCAAAGGTATACTGCATGCAAGATACCATGTTAAGAGCTTATGAGCATTACCTGATGGTAATAAAAATAAATCCAAGCCAGAGGCCATGTGTTGGAAACCTTCCAATATGCAGCATGACATTTCCGGTCTAGAAGGATCTATAGGACATAAGTTTCACCCGTCATTTTATAGAAGCACAGACAGAGCACAGAGGGGAGGTGATTTGCCAGGGCAACATGTTAATAGCCAAAGCAGGGCTGGAACCCGGGTGCACTGACTCCCAAAGCCATTGGGGTTTGCTCTGCCTTGTACTAACCCCAGCTCCTCTCCCTCCCTCTGTGTCCCCCCGCCCCCCCATAGCCTGGCAGAGCTGGAGAAGGAGGTGGGCAACCTCAGGAGGGGCCTCAGAGCAGTCGAGGTGGTGAGTACATCATCTATGCCTGCCTGGGTTTGAGGGGATGCTGCCTGTGTTTGCTGCCTGTCACTGGGCCAGAGGGTGGACCCCCCCACCCCACCCCCCAGATGCAGACCCTGTCTGATGCATCTCTGTGACCCAAAGCTCCTGGCTGGGGCGACAGAACAGCTGGCACAGCAGGTACAGCCTGTAGCACAGAGTGAGTGCTCAGGAAAGGATAACTGAATTACCCAAGGCTTAAATTTAGACTGAACAGGAGACATCCATCTGAGACTGTAGCCTATCACTGTACAGTGGAGTGGAGTGAATGAGAAATCTGCCACGTTTAAGGCTGATTCAAATCGATGGGACAGAGGATCTGCATGCCTTGGAAGCCGACTTAGGGCCAGTAACACCTAGTGTGACACTGGGGACCACTGTCCCCAGAAGTTCTTATGTCTCTTCACCTCCTGCCTGGGCCAGTAGAGGACCCAGGGGCTATACTTTTTTTTTGCTGGAGACCCAGATCTCTACTATTCCTGATCTAAGGGCTTCTCAGATGATACTGTCTCTAGCCCAGTGTGGAGGTGGCCCACTCCTTTGTTCCCATCTAGGAACTAGAGAGCCTTCTCATCTTCACTGGGCGTATGTGGGGAGGCGGTTAAGGGGATAATGGGCTTAGAGAAAGAAGTATGAGAAGGAACCTTTTGTTGCCATTATGGCAGTGGGGGGACGGGGCAGGGGGCTGCTTTCTAATTTATAGCCCTTTAAAGTGCTACCCAAAATGTGGTCCGTGGTCCATGAACCAGCAGCATCGCATCAACTGGGAGATTTGGAAATGCATCTCACACTTCAATCGGCACACAAATCACCCAAGGGTCTTGTTAAAATGCAGATTCTAATTCTGAGTGGGGCCTGAGAGCCTGCTTCTTAAAATTTCACGCTGCTGGTCCCAGACCACGCTTTGGGTAGCAGGATCTAGAGAAAGAAATATGGCAGCGGGGGCGAGGGAAGCATAGAGGCAGGGGGTACTGATTGATACCTCACAATCTTTGCCACCCTTAGAATTTGAGACCCAGGGTGTACCCTCTTCCAAAGGAAGGCTCAGTGTCCTGCGATTGGCAAGGAGGGTGGAGGACGTGGTGAGTCCCAGCATTCCTGACGCTCGTCCTGGCACTGGTCTGACCAGCACTTGGCTCTCCCTCCTCAGGAGCTGGACTATCAGAAACGCCAGGCGTGGGATCCAAAGGACAGGTTTGTCCCGGTCATGAGCGACTTCATCACGGTCTCCAGCTTCAGCTTCTCAGAGCTGGAGGACCAGCTCAATGAAGCCAGGGCCAAGGTAAGGGCGCCCCAAGCCCCCAGGCTGACCCCACCCCCACCCCTCTCTGTCTTCACCGGTCCTACCACAAGTGGCCCAGAAGGGACACACCCAGAGGCACAGAGCTTTGAGGAGAAGGGGTTTCCTCACTCCTACAAAAAAAGCGACAGCAACGCTGTTGCAACGTTCACAGTCCATTGACCAGATGTCAGGCGCCCCATGAAGTGTTTTCCATCCTCTGTCTCACCGCCTACCTTCTGGGTTTGTTGAAAGGCTATTATCCCATTCCACAGATACGTGCACTGAGATCCACAGACGTTAAGTAACTTGCCCAGGGTTGCCCAGCTGTGACAGACAGAGCTGGGTTAGAAGCCTGACTCCGGAGCCTAGCTTTGCTCTCGGTTGCTCTGCCTCTTCCTGCTTTGCACTCTGACACGCCTCTGGACCCCAACTGTGGGAGTCTTATTGAGTTGTGGGTCCTCATTCAGGAGGTCGGGGGTGGAGCCTGAGATTCAGCCTTTCTAACCAGCTCCCGGGAAACACCCATGCCGCTGGTCCAGGGAGCACACTTAAGAGTAGTGAGGGCTTTCTTAGAGGGTTTTCAGTAGGTTGAATTAGAGATGGTAGCTCTCAGTAATAGTGCCAGGCAGGCAGCTAGCTAGCACTCTGCATCACTAACTCATTTAACACCCCCCCAACAGTATAAAGTAGGTCCTATTATTATCCCCATTTTACAATGGGGAAGAAACCGAGGCACAGAGGGGTTAAATAACTAGCCCGATAACTAGATGATCTGACATCCTTGTGGTCCTGACCTTAGGAAGTGCTTCCCAAGGTCTGCAGCTCCTGGTCCTGTACCTACACCCTAACAGACCCAGAGGTCACTCTGGGCAGCCTCTGTCAGTCAGCCTGGGTCTCCCACCTCCCAGGTGTCAGCCTCAAGCCTTTCCTTCCTTCAGCCTTGTCCTTACCCTGATGACGTGGCGGGGGGCTCCCTTCTCTAGCCCTGCCCCCCCCCCAAGTCCCCCCACCTGGATGAGCTCTGCTCTGGCTGGAACTCAACTGCCCACCAGGCTCGGGGGCGACTCTCCACCAACCCTTCTCTTCGACAGTTCTCCAAGGCCCTGATGCACTTTGGGGAGCAGGACAGCAAGATGCAGCCGGATGAATTCTTCGGCATCTTCGACACCTTCCTGCAGGCCTTCTCGGAGGCCCGGCAGGACCTGGAGGCCATGCGGAGAAGGAAGGAGGAGGAGGAACGACGGGCGCGCATGGAGGCCATGGTGAGGGTGCTGCTGGGGCCTGGGTCTGAGCAAGGCTGAGGGAGTGGAGAGCGCGTGGGCGGCGGGAGGCTCAGGGTGCCCTAGCAAGGAGGAAAGTGGGGCCACTTGGTAGACCCAGCCCAGCCCAGGCGTCAACCCGCGAAGGAGGGCAGGTGTCTGTGGCCTGGACCGCGGTGGATGTGCTGGGCCGCGGCCTCTCACCCGCCCTCCTCGCCCTTCCAGCTGAAGGAGCAGCGAGAGCGGGAGCGGTGGCAGCGCCAGCGGAAGGTGCACGCGAGCAGCGCGCTGGACGAGGGCGGCGAGTTTGATGACCTGGTGTCAGCCCTGCGCTCGGGCGAAGTCTTCGACAAGGACTTGTGCAAACTCAAACGCAGCCGCAAGCGATCAGGGAGCCAGGCCCTGGAAGCCACCCGGGAGCGGGCCATAAACAGGCTAAATTATTGACCTGGGGGACTGGCCGCAGCGGGAGGCTGGGAGACAGGGATGGGCCCAGGGCGGCGGAGTGGAGGAGGCCATGCTAGTGACACTTACACAATTCGGTGCTGGATTTAGAGCCCTGGGCTGGGTCCTGGGGGCGGGGCTACGTGGCAGGACCCGGTGTCTCCCCACCTGAAGGGGCTCCCCTCATCTCCTCTTCCCATCATTCTTCCTGCACCCTGGCCCCAGGGGTCACTCTTTGAGGCGGACTTGGCCATCCCGGGCCGGCCCTGCTCCCTGACCCCCAGCACGGACACCCAAATGTTGGCACAGAGCTGTCCCATCTCTAGCCTGGAGAGAGGTCCACGGACCTCGTCTAGATTTCACGTGCCGTGGGGAGTAACGGGCGGGGGCATCCAGGCTCCCATCTCTCAAGAGTAGGCTTAATGGAACGTTGATATGGGGCGAAGTTTCCTATTGAAAGGAAGAGGCATGACATATGCTAGCTAGATGTGTTCCAGGAAAAAAAAAGATGCTGGGAGTCTGCAGGGACCAAGTCATCAGGACAGGGTGACAGTGCCTGTTTCCTACATCGCAAGCCCTCTGGCCCCTCTTGCATGTCTTAAGTTTCTCTCCCTTCCCTCCTGCCATCTCCATCCTATACTAATCCAGAATCCCGGAAAACTCACCTTTGGGTTCCCACGACTAGGGCTCACTATCAGGTACTTGATGGATCTGGTAAGGGAAGGGGTTCAAGGAAGAAGACCTCATTCATCACCACACCTCGTACGCTGGGCACAGGGACCCTGGAATGAAACTGTCCTTCCCCACCCTGTACCACCTGACCGTTGTCTTGAAGCGAGACAGTGACCTCACACGTTGGCTAGGGGTTCCAGAGGGCAGCACCTGAATGGCTCCACCCAGAGCGCCTGGGTTACCACTGAACACTACTCGGACCCCGTACTCGTCTGACATCTGCCACTGAGCAGAAGGCACAGTGACCTCCTGCTCTGTCCAGCCTGCAGGAGACACTTCCAACTGCGTTCGTCTGGCTGAGGTTGGCCCTGGGGCATCGGTTCCGAGGGCTCCAAGGGCAAGAGCTGCCCTCTGCAGTTACGTGCCACCTCTAAGGGAGTAAGGGGACCGCCTCAGGGGCATTCAGATGGGGGGCGGGCCCAGAGAAGGCAGGGTGGAAAGCTGAGGGGGGGTCCCACCCCCCCGCCCCCAGCTCTGGGACCCGACTTGGTTCAGCCGGCTTTCATTCTGGTTCTCCTGTCCGTTCTCACCTTCATTCTGTCCACCAGGAGCTGTCCTTCTGGGGCAGGATGATGGCTGGTATCTACACAAATTTTCTAAAAGGACAGAGGTGAGCTGAACTCCATCAAGGCTCATTTTTAATACATTTCCAACCCCCCAGAGTTAACCCCTCATCCTCTGTATCTGTGAGACCTGCCTGATCCTCCCTACAACCCCACATCAACAGGCTCCCTGCCCTTCTATCCTCCTGCCCTTCCCTTTTGTGTTTCTCACCTTCTGACCTCCTCCTCCAGCTCAGGGTTATTGCCAGTGGACAGACTGGTGGGCTGGGCCCACTCTTCAGCTGCCTATCTTTTCTGGGGGTGGGACCATAGTAGCTGCAGGGGAAGAAACACAGGGTTGCTGAGCCCAACATGGGTGTTGGTTCAAGGGGGAGGGATTGAGCAAGTGTAAGCCTGGTGGGGACCGGTGTGAAGCAGCCATCCTGGAGTCCAGGTGAGGGTAAGGTGAAGGCTTACCAGGAAGAGTGGCCGCAGAGCTGTGTGATACCCACAAAGCCCCCGCTGGAAGAAGCCGGCATTGGGACAATGGGAAGGTTGTGGTGGGACCTCGCAGGGTCCTCCCCCAGACTGGCCGGGCCGAGGTCCACCTCACCCACTGGGACCGGGAATAGGGAGGGCTCCACGTCTAGCCAACAGGCCTGCCCAAACCCCGGTATTCCCACCCACCGTGGAAGGCTGGATACGCACCAGGGAAGAAGGAACATGGAAGACGTTCGAGACACGCTGGATCCACAGAAAAGCACAGTTCGGTTTAACTGTTTACAGAGGACACGTATATTGATTGTTCCAGGGCTCAGGCTTCTCACCTCTAAAGATTTTGCTTTCTCTATTTATTATTTTTCTAGATCTGGCCAGTGGCTCTGACACCAGACGCCACTGTAGCCAGATCGCCAACAGTGCCTTGGACCACAGACCATCACGGCTGACTCAGCAAGAAGTGCTGGTGCCTTGGAGACAGCTGAGTTGGTCCTTGATGTGCTAAACGTTGACGCCTGTTGTATTTGTCCCTTGGTCGTTCCCAGGTGCCCTTCCTGCCACCTTTGGGTTCATTTCTCCAGCTAATTTTGTGTACAGCGTAAAATTCAGTTAATCTGATGCAACCTGTCCCCTTCTCAGCAGCAACATCTGCTCCCCCTCCCCTGTGAGGGAAGGGAGGTGTGTTTAGGGCGGCGGGAGGAGAAAAGTCTCCGGGTGGATGGGGAAGGGTCTGGTCCAGGCTCTTCCCCAACCCTATTCCCTTTCCACCCTCTGGGGGAGCCGTGACCACCCCCGCCCCCCACCTCTACCACCTCCACGCCAAGGCTGTTCTCACCAGCTGTTTCAGATGACAAATGAGGCTAATGTACAAATTCTGCAGCGTCCTTTTCGCCTGCACCTTTTTTATAGAATATATTGTAATACTAAAAAATATTAAATCCGTGCCACCCCTACCTAACCGGCCTTGAAACTTGTGCCTTCTTCCCACGCTGGGACGTGAGGCGTGCTGGGGAGCGGCATAGCCCATGGTGTGTGGGAAGCAGATCCTACCCGCTCTGCGAGCCCCGACTGTGACATCCTCAGGAATTCCGCAAGCCAGTTCACGTCGTACGGTAGCTTGAAATCGGCCAAGGTGGGAGGACTTAGACCATGGAAATTGGCCTTTTTTGCTTTTCCAAGAGCTAGTTGTTAAGCATTTGCCAGCACACCTGGGTGCAGGGCCAGAGGAAAGGCAGGCGGGGGGGCCGGGGGAGTGAGGCTAGAACTAGACACCTACCCACACCGAGAGAACCCCGCAAGCGCGTCCAGCGTTTGGGGATGTGAAAACCGGGAGCCTCTAATTGCACCCCGTGACCTCTACCAGCCGGCGACGGGATGGGCTTCAGACACCCCTACCTGACGGTGCTACTGGAGATGCTGCATCTCTGGGCCTCCCTCTCCACTCCTGCCTTCTCCCCCAGGGAAGGCGGGGTGCACGGAGAACACGCCGCTTTGCTTTTCCAGCGTCTCTCCTGCTCCTCTTCCCCCAGGGGGCGTTGGGTTGAGGGGTGGGCCTGCCATCACGGCGGCTCGGTGCCCTCGGCACAGACACAGTCCTCATTCTTGCATCCCCCAAATGGGCATCGTGGCTTTATTTGGTGCACCGTGTGGGTGAAGGCAAGCGCCATTGCTCCTCCTCCCCTGGTGTGTCCCAGGACGAAGGGGTGCAGGTGGAAAGGCCATGCGCGGGGCAGGTGTGGGAGGTGTGCTTGGTCAGGAGGCCTCAGGGCTGTGGCCCACGAGGCCCCTGCTTGGGAGCCCTTGGTTCCCTCCCGGGGAAGGAAGGAGAAGAGGAAACCCAAGAGGGAAGGGGAGGTTATGGGCTCCATTGTCGGAGAGAGTCCACAAGTCACTCAGTGTGATTCGGGGGTTATCTAGCCTTGCTTGCTGCGGCCAGCCCCCTCCCACGACCTTAGTTAGGGTCCAGGAAGGCTGACGGGCCTGCTGGTTTCCTCTCGGAAGAAAGGAAACCTCGCAGGTCAGTGTAGGTCATCGAGCAGTAGAGGGGTGGGCTGACCTGGGGTTCCTACCGGTTGAAGGTAACTGGTGGCGGGGTGAAAGGAACTTGACATCTTTCCCTTGGCTGAAATCTCATCCCATCTCTTGACCTCGCTGGGCCAGGGGTGAGAGGGGGCAGGAGCTCTACGTCCGATGGAAGTCCCCCCGCTGACCCCCGGTCTTGCTGACGAGCTTGATCTCCGCCAACACGATGTCCCTGCTGACAGCCTTGCACATGTCATACAGGGCGAGGGCGGCCACGGCAGCGGAGGTCAGGGCCTCCATCTCCACCCCAGTGGGGCCCCGAGCCCGGCAGGACGCCCGGACCACCACGGCGTGGCGTGTGCCGTCCAGCTCCAGCTGCACCTGCACGTGGCTCAGGGCCACGTGGTGGCACAGCGGGATCAGCTGGCTGGTCAGCTTGGCCGCCTGGACGCCTGCCAGCTGCGCCACCACCAGGGCGTCTCCCTTCTTTAGCTGGTTCTCCTGGACGAGCTTGTAGGCCACAGGCCCCAGGAGGACCACGGCTGAGGCCACGGCCACCCGCTCTGTGTCTGGCTTCCCACCCACGTCTACCATAGCCGCCTGTCCTTCCCTGTCCACGTGGGTCAGTTGGTCTGAGGTGGGCAGAGGTCCTGATGGGGTGGCAGGAGCCCGGGGCTCTGGGCTAAGGCACTTTGGGTTGGCATCTGAGTCGAGGTGGGAACTGTAATGTCTCTGAGGGAGCCCAGATGCCAGCCACCGCTGGGCGAGGAGAGGGGTCTGGGGGGGCCAGCCCCCTTTCCACAAAGTCACCGTCTGGCTGGAGAAACTCACTCTGTATCTCCGACCCTGAACATGGAGGGAGTCCCTGAAGGAGATGCTTGGAACGGCTGGTGGGGAATCTTGGCACATCAAAAATAACTCTGGAAGGAAAAGGAAAGAGAAGAAAGGCTCAGCCCAAAAGGTAGGTCTTTTCCCACCTCCCTCCCCAAGCCTCGCCCCACCAAACCCCGAGTTCACACTGGGGAAAGGGGAACGAGGGGCAAAGAGCACAGCGAGAGAGAGAAAAGTGACGATTCACAGAGAGGGGCCCCCGGAATAAGCACGCGCAGCCCTCCTCGCCAGGAGGTACACAGGGCCAGGGTCCCGCAGGCTCTGCCTGCCCTGCAGTGGGCTCTGTGGGTGCTCCCACCTGGGCTCCCCTCCTCACAACCTTCCTGTTGCCCAAGTTCTCTTAAGAAACACCTAAGGTCTGAAGACTGAAGCCTCGATCAGATGACTGCTCTGTCCCTTCATTTTCTTAAAACGATAGCGAGGCCTCAGCCTGAATTACCAGTTAGTTACTCTCATCTTCACATTCTCCGGGAAGGGCTAAGAGAAATCGTATAGTTTATAGACAACACACTAAGGTAAATATTTAGTCTCTTTAAACAATATCTCAAGCGGATCAGAAGCATACACAAAGCAACAGGATGCTCTGAATGGTCCCAGGGGCCTCAGGGACCTTGTAGGCTCTTGTTACTCAAAGGTGGTCCAGGGACTGCCAGCGCCAGCGCCATGTGAGGACTGTTAAAAGAGATGCAGCCCGGGCCTCCCGAATCCGAATCTGAAATAACAAGATCCCTGAGGGAGTCACGGGCACGTGAAAGTCTAAGAGGCCCTGTTCTAGGCAACTCCTGGTTTTATAGAGATCAGACCACTTTAGTTACTCTATATCCTTGAGAGTATTATTATTCCTTCTGAAGCAATTAGGCCTCCCAACTTCTAGCTTTCCATCATGCTCTAGCCCCCCTACCTTGTCAGTGTCAGAGGTACAATTATCAAGGCACCCCCCACTCCTTGCCATCAAGGCGTGTCAGCATGGGTCAAGGCCCAACACAAGAGGGTGAGGATGGTGGAGGTGACGGCAGAAGAGAGGTGACACAGGTTTCTTCCCGATGGCATGCTGTGGTGAGCCGCCCTTCCTTCTCTGGGTGGCGGGTGTGGTCCCTGGGCTGTCTCTGGCCCACTCCGCCCACATGCCTCAGGGCTCTCTGCTCCAAGTGCTGAGGGAGAGAATCCCTCCCCCTGGTCTTCTCACTGCTTCCTCCTGCTCAGGGCACGATTCAGGGGCCCAGATCTGGCTGTGGCCAAGGGGGCGAGGCCTCCCCTGCTCTAGCCTGGGCACGCACCAGACAGATGACAGCATCCCCAAAGCTCCGCATGGACCAGCCAGTTCCCCAGGGTTAGAGACCACATGTGGCTCAATAAAAAGGTGTTTCTGTTTGAAGCATCCTATGCACATAAGAGACGCCCTGGGCCCGTAAGTTCCCGGGAGTTAAGGAATTAGGCAGTTGAGATCCTGGCTGTGTCCTCCCTAGGAAGCTGAGTAGCACTCTTAGCTTGCTGCCTAAGCGCTGCCCACACAGCAGCGTAACAACACAAGGACCAACGGGCACTAATGGTCCGGACACGCACGTGAATTGACCCACAGGACAGAAGGGAAGGGACGCCTGTGACTGTATCCAAGCTGGGAGATTCTAAAGCCGAGGACAAGATCTCTGTCTTACCCAGAAGCTCCATTTTCAGGGGACAACTAACATAGCGACCATAAACCTGGAGGACCCCCCCGACCCGATTTCTGGTGAGACAGAACGATGATTTCTGTGGCATGTACAGTAAGAGGGAGCAGGGAAGGGAAGAAAAGCCACAGTAAAGGCTTGGAGGGGTAGGAAAAGGTGAAGGATGAGAACCTCAGGATGAAGTGCAGGATCAGGGTGGGGGGCGCCTACGGCAGGGGCCCCACCCCACGGGACCCCCCCACCCCGACAAGGGTGAGTGGTTACGTACTGATGGGTCACCCACCGATGAGGATCATGGGCCGGTTCTTCATCTGGGAAATACTGAACATGCCTGGGGCGAGGGAAGGATGGGGGGGGAGAGGAGAGCAGGGAAGCAGGGAGAGAAAGAGGGCGGGGAAAAGAGTTCACTGAAACGAACGATGGACACAGAGGTATGACAGCCCCGTGGACAGGCACTCACCTACCGCAGCCCGACAAAAAACCCCCGCCGTACACTGCAAGGTCGCCCATGATGGAGCCCATGACAGTTTTTGGATGCCAGGACCCTGCCCTCCCTGTCAGGGATGAGAGAGGGGCAATGACACCCCTCTTTCTCCACCACCCAATGAAACAGCCCGAGAGAATGTGGGGCCCCCCGTCGTGTGCAGGAGAAGCATCACTGCACCCCAAGTCTAGAGGGCCAGCAGAAGTGACGGAGAGCACGGACCACACTGAGTGCCACTGGCTCACTACAGACCTCCCTCCTGCTGACAGTGGACCACTCACCGCCCAGCCTGGCCTCCCCGCCCCCTCACCTGCATGCTGCCGCTTCTTCCTGCCCACGGCAGCCCCAATGATGCGCAGCAGCTCCTCCTCAGAGGCCCCCGCCCGCAGGTGATCCCGTAGAGATACCTCTGAGTTCCCAAAGAGGCAGACCTGGAGAGATCACATTGCAGGTGAGGCCAACATGCCCCCCTCATCCTGAGCCTTGGCCCCCATCCTTGGAGCCCCCCTGGGCTGGGCACGAGGGCCTCCCATGGCTGGTCATACTCAAAGCAGGTCTTCCTGCAATGAGGGGCCGAAAGTGCTAGATGGAGGAGTCGGAGGGCCTGGAAGGGCAGGAGGCAAAAGTAGACACCCCAAGGCCTGCATCATCTGACTCCCGGTCGTGTTTCCTTCAGCGCGTGGTGCGTACTTGAAAAATACCAAATAACTGCCGACAGATACAGCGCATCAAAGTCTAGATCCACACCCTCTCCTGCGACATGCCACGCAAAGGCCTCTTCACTGCATGAGAACGGACCCCAGTCAGTGGGAGCTGAGCCCCGGCATGGACATCCATTTCCCCTCCATCCTCTTCCAGTCCCTTTGCTCCCGGACCCTGCCCGCCTGGCCCTGCTCTGGTTCGTGGTCCCTGACTTGGGGCTGAACAGCAGAGGGCTGGTGGAGGTGGCAGCCTGAGGTCATTCAAACTTGACTCAATGCTCCCCTGACTCTGGGAGAGGCTGGGAGCTCTGGGGGGCTCGGGGTGGATGGGGCAGTCCCAGAAGGTGGGACACCTACTTCCTCCCATGAAGCCCCACAAAGCACCGACCAAGTGTCAGCCCCGTGCAGGGAGCTGTGGGCACAGAAGCACGGGTGACAAGCAGACACCATCAGAGAAGACATGAACGAGAGCTAAGCGGAAGATACACCCACTCCCCCGTGCTGGTCAGTCCCCCTTCCTCGCTCCCCACCAGCCCCCACTCTCTGCCCTCTTCTGCAACCAGAGCCCCCCTCCTGCTGGCTTCCGCCTGGGTTTGGCTGATGGGAGGTCAGAGGGTGAGAGCAGAGAAAGGCCGGGCACTTCTCGGCAGTGGTGCTTCCGGCCACAACCACAGCCCCAGCCAGGCGGCCGCTCCAGCTCTCCTGGGAGCCCAGTGACGCCAACTCCTCCCCTGCCCCTTCCTCCCAGGGGTGGGACAGCAGTTTGCTGCTGCTCATCCAGTGCCCTTACAGGCCCCCTTAACCCTGCGCTATAAACAGCCTCTTCCTCACATTCTCCTTAGAATCCTCCCTCCACTTCCCGCAGCGGGGTGGAGGGGACTGACTGACACAGTTACCACCGACTGTCCACTCAGTCCCGTGCCTCCAGCCCAGAAGACACCCTCGCTTTGTAACAACCTGCCGCACAGCTCCTATCGGGTGTCCAGCCTGACGGTCCAAACCCAGCCACCAGCACCCTCGCCCCGATCCCAAGCAGGTCCCAGAGCTGACCAGACAGCCCGGAGCCTCTCTCTCCACCCACACCTGCAGCTCCAAGTTCTTTCACTCTTCCTTCCCACCTTCACCTTAACTCTTACATATCTGGAACATCACGAAGTGGCCATTTAACTGTCTTTCTATTTCCAAATTCAACCTGGGAGTTATTCTTCCTAAAACATGAATCGGGGATCCTGCCTCCCCACCTTGTATAAAAACTCTGCCCAGTGTCCTCCTGTCAACAGGACACACTCTGCACCTTGCATGGGGTCACTCAAGCCCTCCACGAGGTGGCCTCCCCATAGCTGACTTTAATCTGCCCTGGCCAAATCAGGATGAACGCATCCATCCTCCCCCGCCACTACCCCCCCACCACCACGCCCAGTCTCCATGGCTCACTGAGGTCCCTGTGCGCTCCCTCCAGGTTCACCACCAGAGGCCTGTCCGGCCCCTCGTTTGATGAAGAATCCCGTGCTGCCACCCATTAGCTCTTTGTTTGGTCTCACAGGGAGTCTCTGTGGCCTCACAGAAGACGGGCATGTCCGCGCCTCCCTTCCACCCGCCGTCCCCGGGCCTGAACGCACAGCATGTGCTGATGAGATATTAGATATAAGTAACGGATGCTGGTTTCAGGAATGAACCCCTGGCCTGGTGGGAGGGGCCAACCAGGGTGGGGGCTGGGGGCAAAGGGCACATCGATCCCTGCCCAGCCCGCCCACAGCACTGAGTCCTGGAGAGTGGCTCCTGATCAACCAGGGACCCAAGGAAGGAAGGAACCAGGGTGACGGTTCCACGGAAGCCACGAGTTCACCTTGATCTGCTGCTCCCACGATCCTCCCATCTCTGACACTATCTCACCATCACCCCGTGTACCCTGCTAGCCTCACCTCCAATCAGGGGGCACAGGTAGGAAGACATATACAGAGCACAGAGGGGACAGGGGTGCCCACGGGGAAGGGGACACTCACCTTGAGGTTCCCGTCAGCTGTGATTCGCAGGCGGTTGCACGTCCCACAGAAATGCTCAGACATGGACGTGATGAAGCTGACTCGGCCTCGGAAGCCAGGGATTTTAAAGGCCTGTGGGTGAGCAGTGGAGGGGAGGGGGACAGGCAGCTGAGTGCCAGCTCTCTCCCTGACATCAGAGCCCTTAGCTCTCGGCCCTCTCCCCAGGAGCCCTGCAGAAGGCAGCCCCCAAGGCCCTCGGACAACAGAAGACTCCAGTATGAAGCCCATGAGCTCTCCGCCTGCACCTGGCCTGCCCCAAACAAAGGCTGCTAAAGATGCAGGAACCCGAGGGCAGCACGGCCAGGGGCAGCCACGTGGAAGAGCCAGACAAGCACCCGCTCCACCACTCAGTCCAGTGCATCCTACAAGTTCCTTAACCTCTGCCCCACGTCGGGCCTGCTTCTGCGTCAGTGAAGCAGGGAGGCTGCTATGATGGCCCTGGAACACTTCCTGCTTAAGAGGAACTGTCCTGCATCACTGACCCCACCCCCAAAGCAGCCCCTGCCAGCTCTCCCGTCCTAGGGTGGAAGCACCACCTTTCTCCCGGCCCCATCCCTGCCCTCCCGCCAACCTTGGCTGTGCTGGATTCCTCCTCCGGCAGCTTCTCCAGCTCCGGCCACTGCTGCCTGAGGGTGTCCAGCATCTCCTTGTAGCTGACCATCTTCTTGAAGTTCCACTTGTTGCCTGTATTGGGGGTGGGAGCTACTGAGTCACATGATGCGGGGACCCAGGGGCTTCAAGTTCACCCTCCCACAGCCCAGGAACCAGTTCTCCGCCGCCAGGCCAGGAGGGCACAAGGTGCCTGAAATGGGTGGATGGAATCACAGCCACGCCCACTCTGAGAAGCCTCCGACCCCCATCGCAGCCCCGGTGCCTGCCCAGGCCCCTCCCCACCACCCCTGGAGAAATTCCTACACACACAGTGGTATCGGGGCCAGCAGCACCCACAGGGGCAGCCGGACCTTGTCCGCCCGCCTCAGCCTTTCCCAGGGTTCTTGACAGCCCCCCGTCGTGCTCTCAGCGGGGTTCTGGTCCAGCTCTGCCGACAGGCCCGGCCTCCTCTTCCCCCACCCACCCCCCTCTTCCCCCACCCACCCCGCCCTGCGGCACTGACCGTCAAAGGGCATGTACTCTATGAAGCGCACGTCCAGGGGAAGGCCCTCGGTCAAGGCCACGAAGTCCAGGAGTTCGTCCTCATTCAGGCCTCGCATCACCACACAGTTCACCTGGTCCAGAGATAAGGGGACCACAAGGGCTATCCCCACTGCGTTCTTTTCCAGGGATGACCCTTGTCGGGGATCTGACACCTGCCTAGGCTCTCCACCCAGGGTCCCGTTCCTTGTGTCCCTCCCCCAGTTCTCCATGGGTTGGAAGATTCCATGGGTCAGTGGTTTTCTCCCCTCCCTTGTCGGGAGTGGGGGGCAGGGCTGGATGGAGCAGGCCAGGAAGTGGTAAGGGGTGCACCGCAGGTGCACTGGCCAGGGCTGGGGCCTGTCTTGGGGCCAGGAAGTCCTCACCTTCACAGGACTGTAGCCCAGCTCAATGGCCTTGTGGATGCCCTCCATGACCTTGCGGAAGCCTGTGGGGAGGGAGAGGAACAGGGTCCAGGCACTGCCTTCCTCTCCCCCACGTCCTCACACCCATAGAAAGCACCAGAGCCACAAGGAACCTCAGAGACCGCCGAGTCTGGGGACCAGAGAGTAAATATTTCAGGCTCTGGAGGCCAAGAGGCAAAATTGAAGCTATTATGTAGATATACATCATGAAGATTTTATTGACTAAATTCAGAATAGGGTAATAATTGAGTATAATACTTGTAACACCACTCTGGAATAGAATGAAAGAGTGGAATTCTTTTTGCAGGGATAATATGTTGCTTAATTGGTATTCATGGTTAATGTTCCCTATCATTAAATTCATTGCAAATGTTATCTGCAAAATCCATTCTTGGCTCGAAGGCTGTAAGAAAAACAAACCAGGCAGGGGGCTGGAGTTGGCTGGTGGGCTGTAGTGCGTGGACCCTGATCTAGGTGAACCCCCTCATAGCCCAGATGAGGAAACCGAGGTCCAGAGACAGGCAGGGCTCAGCTGGGGGTCTCGCACAGAAGGCAGGACCTCCAACTCCCTCCCGGTGCCTGCTCTTCACCAGTCCGACCGTTCACCCACTCTTCATATTCTCACCGAGCACCTACCAAGCGTAGGTGCTGGGCCAGGGCTGGTGAGCGCTTCCCGTGCACGTGGCTCTCTCCTATCTCTGTGGTTAGTGCAGTAAATGTGATCCCAGGCTGGCTTCTCCTCCCCACCGCAGCTCAGTCATGTATCCAAACATGTGAGCACCTCCGGCATACCGGCCCCTCCCCCACCCCCAGCCAGCCTCCACGGTTTCCTTGCAGCATTTTCAGAGTAAGACGGCAGGAAGAGACGGCAAAGGAAAGACTGTACAGCTTTTATACAAAATGCCGTTAGGATAATCTAGAAGTTCTCTCTTCCGTCAAGCCCTCTCCCTCCAAAAGGAGGCAGGGGACACAGGGATATGAATGGGAAGGCAGATCTGGCATCAGGATCTACTGTCTCCGATCCTCATTCCAGGAAGGAGTCAAGGAGGCAGGGGGCATGGGGAAGTGGGCTGGGGGTTCTCTGGGTAAAGCTCACAGTTATACCTTCCACTTTCCCACCTCAGAGCCCCTGCGGTTCTCGACTGACATTCCTCCTCAGAGCAAGCTCCCTTGATCTGACCACCCGGCTCCTGAAGGGCCAGCATGAATGCCTCCTCCTTGAAGCCCTCCCAGTCTCTCCCTGCTGGAGGAGAGAGCCCTAGAGAGAAAGAGTTCTCTCTTCCGCTCTGCAAGTGCTTGAACTGACAGCACAAGACAAGCAAAGGTGGTTCCGTGGCATCACACCTTTCGGCCCTTCGTAGCCTGTAAGGCAGGACAGTGTCCTGTGCGTCTGTCCCCTCCACAGCACCTGGAGCAGCCTTTAGAGGGCAAAGACACTCCCCCCGCCCAAGCACTTCCTCAGCACGCTGCCAAATATAAACAGGAAGTCACACGCTGGGGGAGGGTGGAAAGAGGAGGTGGGGCTGAGAGCTGGAGGCTGTTTCCAGAGAAGCAGAGGGAAAGCTGGGTCTCCCCGGCATCTCTCTGATCCTCCAGAGAGGTCTCAGTAGTGCACCACCCTCCCCAAATCAAAGGGCATCTGAGCCTGTGCAGAACCTCCCATCCCAACCGGGGGCCCACGGATGGTGGGCGCTGGCCTAGTGAGACCCGGGGCTCAGGCCCCTCCGCTCTCCACTGCCACCCTCTCTGATGGAGCCTGGCAGGAGGAGGCTGTGGGTGTGCTTGCTGTAGGGGGTGAAGGAAGAGGCTGACAACAGGATGGGCTCAGGGAGCATCCTTAGGCGCTGGGGGACCCTCAGCTGGCAGTGCTGACCCTGTCCCTGGAACCCCAGGGCAGCTAGCTGCTTCCACCCCAGGCTGCCCCACATTTCCTCAGAGCTCACTATAGGGTAACCAACTTGTCTCAGTTTGTCAGGGACTGTCTTGGTTTTAAAACGGAATGTCCTGTGTTCTTGAAACCCTCTCAGTCCTGGGCAAACTGGGGACAGGGTAGGGGGAGGCTGGTCACCACAGCTCATTAGCATCCGATCCCAAATGTCCCCAAGAGTGTGGCTACAGAGACGAGGGACCTTTAGCAAGACTGAGGGATGAGGTGTAAATGCCTAGGCTTAGCTATAGCCCAGGCACCAAGAGGGAGACCAGGCCCCTTGCACCGGCCACAGCTCCCCAGCTACGAGGGCCTGGGAGGGTCACCGTCCACCGTGAACCCCATGTGATCACCTTTCCTGCGGACGATGAACTCAAACTTGGCTGGTACCAGCGTGTCCAGGCTGATGTTGATGGTACTGAGGCCAGCTTCCTGAAGCTGCGGCAGCAGCCGGGCTAGGTTGATGCCGTTGGTGGTGACGCCAATGGTCCTCAGCCCTTCCAGCTGGTGGAGCTGTGCTGGAGGGAGAACAGCAAGGGCTATTAGCCTTCTTGCTCTTGGTGAGGCCAGGAGAAGGGCTGGAAGGAGAAACTCTGAGCCAGGTAAGATGGATGGAAAAGGGGCTCTCTGCGGACCTCTATTAACCAGGCTTAGCTGAATAAGAAATAACCAAAAGGTTAAACACCGAGTGCTCACCTTGCTAGAGTGCAGACGGGATCAGATGGATCAAGGAGACCGGAGCCCAAAGTGCACACTGAAGACGGTTCTATACAAAGTGGGAGGGTAACTAGCTGCGCCCAGCTTAGCAGTCACCTAGGCAAGAAGCAGGAGGGGCCCTGGGCCTGTCAAGGAGGTTGCCTGTCTGGGGAACTATATATGGATGAGTTGGGTACGTTGGTCTCCCTCCCATGCCTGTGAGTAGGAGGAAGGCAGCAGCTTCTACCCCAAGGCTACAGTACTTAAGCGAGCTGAAGGGGGTGGGGGCAGCCCTGAGTAGCTGCAGATACTCAGGAGACGGGATCCCTGGAGTCCAGAAGAACTTCACTTCCCTTCTCCACAAACTCAGGGGCAACCAGCATAAACAGATATAGCACTGACAGCCAGGCCAACAGAAGCCTTGGACACTGAAATGAGTACACAGCTAAGAATCAGTAAATATGGGCTTCCCTGGTGGTGCAGTGGTTAAGAATCTGCCTGCCAATGCAGGGGACATGGGTTTGAGCCCTGGTCCAGGAAGATCCCACATGCCGCGGAGCCACTAAGCCCGTGCGCCACAACTACTGAGCCTGCGCTGTAGAGCCCTGAGCCACAACTACTGGGCCCTCGCGCCACAACTACTGAAGCCCACGCGCCCTAGAGCCCGTGCTCCACAACAACAGAAGCCACTGCAATAGGAAGCCCACGTACCACAATGAAGAGTAGCCCCCGCTCACCACAACTGGAGAAAGCCCACGTGCAGCAACGAAGACCCAATGCAGCCAAAAATAAAAATATACATTTAAAAAAAAGAATCAGCAAACATTTTAAAAGAATGCTGTGATATGGGGAAGGGGAAGGGTAAGCTGGGATGAAGTGGCATGGACTTATATATACTACCAAATGTAAAATAGATAGCTAGTGGGAAGCAGCTGCATAGCACAGGGAGATCAGCTCAGTGCTTTGTGACCACCTAGAGGGGTGGGATAGGGAGGGTGGGAGGGAGACACAAGAGGGAGGAGATTCAGGTTTTTGTGAGATGTTACAGAAAAATCCAAATGAACTTTTTGGCCAACTCAACAGAAGAGTGAAAGAGGAAGAAGAAAGGACAGAGATAACAGAAGATGACTCTTTCAAAAAGCAGAGTTAGATAAACACAGATGCAAACATCCTCAACAAAATATCATTAGGAAACCAAATTCAACAACACATTAAAAGGATCATACACCACGATCAAATGGGATCTATTCCAGGGATGCAAGGATGGCTCAACATCCACAAATCAATGTAATACACTACATTAACAAACTGAAGAATAAAAATCATATGATCATCTCAATAGATCCAGAGAAAGCATTTTATAAAGTTCAACGTCAGTTCATGACTAAAAACTCTCGACAAAGTGGGTATAGAAGGAATGATCTTCAGCATAAGAGAGGCCATATATGACAAGCCCACAGCTAACATCTTACACAACAGTGAAAAGCTACATGCTTTTCCTCTAAGATCAGGAACAAGAGAAGGATGGTCACTTGTGCCACTTTTATTCAACATAGTATTGGAAGTCCAAGCCACAGCAAATGGAAAAGAAAAATAAAAGGCATCCAAATCAGAAAGGAGGAGGTAAAACTGTCACTATTTGCAGATGATATTATACACTGAAAACTCCAAAGACTCCACTAAAAAACCATTAGAACTAATCAACAAATTCAGTACAGTTGCAGGATACAAAATTAATATGCAAAAATTCATTGCATTTTCATACACTAATAACAAGTTATCAGAAACAGAAATTAAGAAAACTTACAATTGCATCAAAAAGAATAAAATACCTAGGAATCAATTTAACCAAGGAGGTGAAAGACCTGTACACTGAAAACCGTAACACGCTGATGAAAGAAATTGAAGACAACACAAATATTGATAAACGGAAAGATATTCTCTGCTCATGGATTAGAAGAATTGATATTGTTAAAATGTCCCATACTACCCAAAGCAATCTCCAGATTCAATGCAATCCCTATCAAAATTCCAATGGCATTTTTCACAGATATAGAACAAACAATCTTAAAATATGTATGGAACCATAGAAGACTCTCAATAGTCAAAGCAATCTTGAGAAAGGAGAACAAAGCTGGAAGCATCACACTCGCTGATTTCAAACCATATTACAAAGCTATAGCAATCAAAACAGTATGGTATTGGCATAAAAAAAAAACACATGGATCAATGGAACAGAATAGAGCCCAGAAATAAAGCCATGCACATATGGTCAATTAATTTACAACAAAGGAGACAAGAATGGAAAGGACAGTCTCTTCACTAAATGGTGCCAGGAAAACTGCATAGCCAAGTACAAATGAATGAAACTGGACCACTATATTATACCATACACAAAAATTAACTCAAAATGGATTAAATATTGATCTGAAACCATAAAACTCCTAAGAGGAAACATGCAGTAAGCCCCTCTGACATTGGTCTTGGTGATGTTTTGGATTGGACACCAAAAGCAAAGGCAACAAAAGCAAAAATAAGTGGGGCTACATCAAACAAAAACGCTCCCACACAGTAAACGAAATGGAAAGTCCACCTACTGAATGGCAGAAGATATTTGCAAATGATACATCTGATAAAGGGTTGATATCCAAAATATATGAAGAACTTATATAACTCAACACTAAAAAAAAAACCTATTAAAAAATGGGCAGAGGATCTGAATAGACATTTTTCCAAAGAAGATACACAGATGGCCAAGAGGTATATGAAAAGGTGCTCAACATTACTAATCATCAGGGAAATGCAGATCAAAATCACAATGAGATATCACTTCACATTTGTTAGAATGGCTATGATCAAAAAGACAGGAAAAAACAAGCGCTGGAAAGAATGTGGAGAAAAGGGAACCCCTGTGCACTGCTGGTGGGAATATAAATTGCTGCAGCCACTATAGAAAAGAGCACAGAAATGCCTTAAAAAATTAAAAACAGAACAACCATATGATCAGCAATTCCACTTCTGGGTATTTATCCAAAGAGAGTGAAAACATTAACTCAAAAAGATATATGCATTCCTATGTTCACTGTACCATTATTTATAATAACCAAGATTTGTCCATCAATGGATGAATGGATAAGGAAAACGTGGTGTGTGTGTGTGTGTGTGTGTGTGTGTGTGTGTGTGTGTGTGTGTAATGGAATATCATTCAGTCATAAAAAAGAAGGAAATCTTGCCATTTGTGACAACACGGATAGCCCTTGAGGGCATTGTGCTAAATGAAATAAGTCAGACAGAGAAGACAAATATAATCTCATATAATCTCACTTATATGTGGAATCTAAATAAAACCAAAAAAAAAAAAAAAACCACACACCAAAAAACCAAAGCAAACAATAATCATGGATGAGAACAATACTTACGTACAAGGATGTTAATCGGTGAGCAATACATAATAAAGGGATGTAGGAAAACATCCAGATGGCCAACAACAGAAAACTGGCTAAATTATGCTTTGTCTAAATGATGATGGAATATTATGCAACTAAAAATGACTCTGTAAAAGAATAAGTTAGGATGTTGGGAAATACACATGTCACATTAAATCCAGAGGGCAGGTTAAAAACAGTAGTTGAAAACTAGGTGCAAAGAAAAAAGACAGGAAGGTCGCCAAACCAAAATGTTGACAGTGGTTACAGCTGGGCAGTAGTGATACTATTTTTGCTTATCTGAAATAAACATGTATTACTTTTGTAGTAAGAAAATGAAAGTTTAAAAATAAAAGTTGTTGTTTTAAAAACAAAGAAAAGAACTTTCCTCTGGGACTCTGACAATATGGAAAATTATAGTAGTTTTTGGCTCCCTCCACCAAATCAACCCTGAAGAAACACAGAATCCAGGAACTTAAAAGACAATCTCGAGAAACTCACAGGAAGATGGACAGTCCTTTCGAGCTGGTATGGGGGAGGGGGTGTGTAGCCTGGGGTCGAAGTAGACTGGCAGAGAATGGAAGCAGTTAAAGGAAAGCAAGGCAGTTCAAGCTCTTTCCTTACCCTCATCCACTGATGCCTCAGAACAATCGATGCTGTCCCCTTCCTGAAGACTTTGGTGGTAAGAGTTCCAGAGAACTAGCTTAGGAGGTCAGCTCAGGGAAGCTGCCAAAGCCTTGCTGGGATTCATCCCTCCACCCTCCCCCTCCAAAGCCCCAGGACTGGTGGATTAAAATGGAGAGTAACTGCCTCCTTCCAAATCTGCTTCTCTCCGAGGGTTGGAAGGTGAAGGTCTGTCATATCACATCACTCCAGGAGGTGCCATTCTCATCACAGTCTAAGTCAACAGCATCTCCCAGAGTTATGCAAGTACGCAACCTGCGCTGTCCTACGTGGCCAGGCTGGTCACTGGTGGGGAGATTACAAACATGAGTGAATAACTGTGATTTTCGGGGCTCTTGAGCTCACTGGGTCTATTGAAGACTAAGGTCTGGCCTTAAACCTTTTCCCATTAAGCAGCGCCATTCAGAATAGCTAATATCCTCAGGGGAACAAACTTGCTGCCTAAACTAAGGAGACCCTTGAGAAGTACAACCAGTGCTTCCCCCACCAAAAACAACACAACCCCAAACACCCCCAACCCTCTATATGTATCAATAGAAAAGAAATGATCAAACAGACCAAGAATGTAAGATAAACATAAATACAATAAAAGAAATAACAGAAGATATTAACAATATGAAACAAAATGTTTCATTATAAAAGGGAACAAGGGAAAGTAGTAGTTAAAAACAGTATTGTGAAATAAAGAACACAAGAAATAAGTTAAATGGTAA